GGGCCACGAGAGTGGGCTGCTTGGCAGGAGCAGGTTGGGTCGTGAGAGTGGGCTGCTCGACGGAAGTAGGCTAGACCACGGGAGTGGGCTGCTCGTCGGGAGCAGGCTGGGCCACGAGAGCAGGCTAGGCCACGGGAGTGGGCTGTTCGACTGAAGCAGGCTGGGCCACGGGAGTGGGCTGCTCGTCGGGAACAGGCTGCTTGGCAGGAGCAGACTGGGCCACGAGAATGGGCTGCTCAACGGAAGCAGACCACGGGAGTGGGCTGCTCGTCGGGAGCAGGCTGGGCCACGAGAGCAGGTTGCTTGGCGGGAGCAGACTGCTTAGAATGTGATGCAAGCTAATGCGAGGCTTGGGCCCGGGCCCGTGCAAACTTGGATGGCACGACTTGGGTCGTGGCCTTGGTGTCGTGAGCCTTGGATGGCATGGCTCGAGCCGTGGTGAAGGCACCATGGACCTCGCCACGGGTGGCTACCGAGGTAGCCACCGTGGCGGTTCCCATGGTGGAAACTCGTGGTGGTGATGTTGCTCCACTTATTGTCGCATTTAGCCTCACGGATCTCCGCAATCCCATTTCTTGAACATTAGAATTTTCACTTGTGGAATTTTCTAAATTTCTAGCCATTATATTTTGCTTATACGTTTTATCAAAGAACCTTTGCAAGTAAAAAAATTCTAATAATAAAGACGTATGAAAAATATTCAAATGGACTAGAAAATAAAGAAAAAACCTTTTTGTGCGAGAGTCTTCTACGGGTATGGATTTCAACTCTCAATGAAAGCACCAATTTGTGGATGCAAATTTCTTCCTCCTTGATCTTGGACAATTTTGCACCTACAAAACAATTAACACCTTAGGTTAAGGCCAAGAGCCTCACGCGCCCACGATGAATGGGGGGGGCTTTGGCCGAAGAACCTCCGATGCCAAAGTTAGAATTTAGAGAGAAAGAGTGTTTAGAGAATTTTGGGATTTTTGCCAAAGTGTTGGAATTGTCTTTTTGGTGAGAAATGAGAGTATATTTATAGGCATAGGAGGTGGCTAGGGTTTTTTGGGTTTGATTTAGGTTTAATTAGCCAATTTATTTGGCTATTAAACATAAAATGAATGTTTTGGTGGTTTTTTGTATAATTGGCTAATCAATGTCACAAAAAAGGAAAATTATGGTGAAAAAAGAAGGAAATGGCCGGCTCCCTTTGGAGAAGGGATAACCGGCCTTTAGGGTGATTTTTGGGCTTAATTTGGTGATGTAATTAGCCTTTAATATATTGATTATATTAATTGGTTGAGGATGTTATGGAATGTTTGAAATAAATGGCTAATTGAATAAGGAAAAAATGAGGTAAAAACATATATGGAATGAAATAGGTTTTGAATTGTTACCCATTTTGGGTACTCCTGACTTGGTTGATGGATGATTCTCCACTACTCGCGTGTAGGAAACCCGGTATGCCTCGAGGGTATTTTTGTCCTATTTTGTCCAAAAGTCCACGTGTCGCCTAGTGAATATTTTTGGCTCCACACACCCCGTCTCGAAGGAGGGCATGCTGGCCGTCACGTGAGAGTGATGTAACCATTTACACAGTCCGGAAGCTTTAAAGATACAATTACTAAGATGTAACACCAGAGGGTGAGTCCAACTTTTGTGAATTCTGTCAGAACACCGTGGGAATCCTCGTGAGCCACAAACACTACTAACTAGAACCTGGAGGGGCGCAAAACAAGATTGAGTGGGTCAGTAAAACAAAGCTTTTCGAAAATATTTCAGTTAATAACATTTCTAACCCCTCGTTGTAAAACCTGTATACTTTCCCAGAAAAATAGTATATAATATGCATATAAATCTTCAAATATCTCAATTCACAAATCTTTATCAAAACCAGAAAGTATGCCATGTTATAAGCGTCAATAACAGAATAAAGATGCATCAATATAACAGGTGACATAATGAATCAACCGGAGACCCTGCAGTTGGTCATGTACGGTTAATTCTATAGCTCAATATCCCAACCAACCGGAGTCACCACAGTGACCCGTACGGCGCTACTCTGCACATAAATCGGAACTACCTGAAGTAGTCTGTACGATAAGAATGGTGTAAGAATACGCTCTAGTGCTTCTCTCATCAACAACTGTATAATAATCTAAAATCACCTACAAGTCGAAACCACCTCTTATGGTCTGTACGACATGTCGGAACCCTCTAATGGTCTGTACGACATGCACCTACTTGGATCCAAGGTGAGCGTGTGGTGTGGGGTGAATAATATAAACACTAACACTAGGGTGCAGGTTATGAGCTCTCAACACAATTCACATCATCAATGATTCACATGAATAACATAAAACTCACCTGATACTCACCTGTGCGTCCACAGCACCAATTCACACACACACACACACACACATATATATATATATATATATATATATATATGCATCAATTACTAATTCATATAATTCACAATATGCATGCATGGCATTTTAAAAACATACTTTCATTTAAATTCAATTTCTGGGAAAAATCAATAGTATATAGGTAATAACAGAAAATAACTGCCCACTCACTGGTAAGTCGAAGGGTCGTAACCCCCGTGACGTCCTTGAATACGCTCGTCCTCAGGATAGGTATCACCTATATGCGAAACAACTATAAAAACGTTAATTAAAGCACATAACCGACAATTCATAATAACTTCTCATACTATGCTCAATTTGGGTATATGAATATACCACAGTGACCTACTCGACGTCATGGACGTCGAGGTATTTTTAAAATAATTTTTGAACTTGTCACGCGCCCCCATGCGCCAGGATAGGCACGGGTCCACGCGCCCTCCACGCTCATCATCCCCTACCTCCAGTCGCCGGAAAAACTCGCTGGCGCCGGAAACTGGGCAAACCTGCAATCACCCTTTTCTCGCTCGATTCTTAACCATTTTCCATGAAATTTTCACCAAAAATTCACAAATTACGAGAGGAAGAAGGCTATACCTTTAAAAACTTCCAAATCCTTCGAAATCACGTCGGGAAATTTCACCCAAAACTGGCCACCTTCAAACCTTGTGATCCCGACGTCCAAAACCTTCAAACGAACGTCCCTGAGCTTCGTGAGAACATCCTAAAGCTCACTATGAACTTGGATTGTCCTAAAAACCAACCATTACAAAGTTCATGAATAGTACCCAAATCGGACCTCGAGTTTTCAACGTGAAATCGAAAGATTTCTTACCTAAAATGGGTATGGGTGAGTTCGTAGGGTCCTCACGAGTACAATGGTGCCCTTGGAACCTTCAATCCATGCTTGGATGATCGATGGTGAGTGTGTCCGTACGGTCGAAAAGAGAGAGAGGGTGAACTAAGAAGGGAAAGAGAGAGAGCACGGGGAGTACTTGTCCCGGGTGTGTGTGGTCCATACAAAACAACCCAATCCAAATCCTTTAATCCCTAACCACACAAAATGCATACAAAATAAACCCACTTAATTTATTTTCTAAGAAATTAGGAGAGTATGCATTATTCCAAATAATATGTCACACATACCTTAGTACCCGTCAAGGGCAATTTCATCTTTTCACATCAATGATAAGGTAATTCCGGGACGGGTTGTGACATGATGCCTATAAAAAAAATTGATCGCTATAATTCAAGGCTCTCCTTTTTTATTTCGAACCACCAGGCCATAGATTGAGTTTCTTACTAGAAGAGGATTGTGACATGAAAAATAATAGTCAAAAGGATAGAAGACCACTCCTATGTGAGAAGTGCCTGAAGGGATAAGCAAGTAATATAAGCAACGGAGAATGGTTAAGTAAACCAAACTTAAGCAAAACTAAAACTCACATAAAAACCTTTGGGTATCAGTGGAGAAGAGCTTGCTTTCGAATTTCACAATGGAGCAATCAATTTTATTTCTCCGCTTCCGCGAAACAGTTTTCTCACACGTTCGCATTTTCCCTCCTTTGTTTACACGTCTACATATCGAGGCTTATCATGTTTGTAGATTAAAACTTCTACAAAAGAGCCTCTCTATGTATGTATAATTAAGCAGAAATGAGAGTTGCAATACCAGGATGTGCTCCATGTAGATTGCAGAATGTAACCATGAACATCATGAAAAAGTAGGCGAAGCACAAATGTAACATAAGTGCTTGATAGAATCCAATCAATATGTATATAGATGCAAAACATAGAAATACAAAAACTAAACAAAGTAGAATAAAAACAATCTATCGGTCTTAAATCGTGACCGACTCAAAAATAGAAGAGGAACGACGAGCTTCACAATGCACAATTTGTGTTTTTGCTGGAGTCTAGTAACTATTGACAGTGTCGTAGAATGAAATTGAAAACAAAAATTTCCTCAAACCATTTGAAGTAGCGGGAACAATGAAGCTTCTTCCCTTCTTCTCTAATGTTGGATTTGTAAATTACTTAATGTGGATTTGTGAGTTCTTGGGAGTTTATTCAGCTTCTCAGTCAGTTTGCGGCAGTTTACTCTCGAGTCCTCCATGATTAGGTTTCCTTTTTGCACGTTCAATTTCTTTTCTCTTTTGTTTCTATTTTATCTCAGTTTGTGGCAGTTTAGTTCGAGTCCTCCACGATCAGGTTTTTTTTCTTTCTTTTCTTCTTATTCTGTTTATCTCTTTTAATTGTTATTTTTTTTTCTTACAAAACTACCCTTAGTAATAATTTCTTTTCAATTAATGCGTTTTTTTGTTTCAGGGTTATTTTGGTCCAATAATTTTTGGTAAAGCCTTGAGACATCAAACTTGACTTCTGACTTTCTAATATTAGAGATACTAGTTGATTAAAAAATAAAAAATTTAAATTACAAAGATAACAATTACAGTCCGTCATAAATTAAAAATGTGATGTTGTTAAAACTTTTTGCAACCACGGGCTTTCCTCATGGTAATATTTAGCTAAATTACAATGGGCTTTAAACGCACGTTGATACTTTAACCATTTCAACCACGGGTTTGTTTATGCCCGTTGATGTAATAATTATTTACCACGAACTTCAAATGTTTGTGGTTAAATTTGACTTTTTATAACGGACTTTATACGTCCATGGTCAATTAGCTGTGGTAGATGCAGTGTTGTGGCGTAGTGATCATCTTAATATAAAAACAAATTTGAGAAATACAGAAATTATCATGTGTTCTAATAATTAAGGTAATTAATTTAGAAGAATTTGGGAGGGTATTTGATGGCATTCTTGACAATCTTTTTGGAGGCAGCATCAGCAAGATCAATGCCGCATATATCCGCCAACCTGATGAGGTACAGAAGCACATCAGAAAGCTCTTCTCCCAGATGCTCTTTATCTGATTCCTTCCAATTTGGCAACCCTCTGTCCACCTCTCCCCTCCACTGGAAGATTTCTGATAGTTCTCCTACCTCTCCCACCTACACATGCAGCATCCATCGTGTATATTATAGCAACCATGAAAATTATTTATTTGTTTTCAAATTCCATTTCTACATATTTTCAACCACTCATGCATGAATGGCTTAACTTATCTTTCTGCAATCAAAGTTTTCTAAAAATGTAAACTTGGTAAAAAAAAAGAAGTTCAATGAAAGCTTTCCACATATTAGGGTATGAAATTTGCAACACCCTATATGCCGCCTTAGCCTACACCCCATCGACCCGCCTACTTGGGTCTTGTATGGACATGCAGGACGGGGTCCTGATGTGAGTCAAAGAGAGTGTTACAGCCACTACACGTTGTTAGTTGTCCCCAGTGCGTGCCAGCTTCCCTAATCAGAATTCATCCCAATCTTTCTGAAGGAAGTGTTCAAGTGGGCAAAGTTGAAAGATAAACTTCAAAAAGTACGATCTGTCTATGGTATCCCACCCCAAATGTTTGCAAAAGAGTATTGCATGCATTATGCATGCAAAATTGGAGTAGGGATTTCATGTTTCAGAAACTGCTAACCCCACTCATATTTGAATGAATAAGGTTTACTGGCGTTGGCCATTCATGAAAGATAGCTTATGTTAAAAATAAAAATAGCAGATATAAATTGGGGCAGTTGACCAGAGCACGTCCATTTAAACCCTAGTTGGAATTCTCATTCCTGTAAATTAATAGTTTATAATTATCAAATAAAGAAACACCAACAAATCAATGAAATGGACAGGTCATGCACGTGTTTAGGAAATATATATATGTTTGCATCTACAAAGAGATGTATGTATGTATGTGGCAAAGGAACAACATCTTCCAACATATATGTACGTATATGTATATATACTTATATTCTTCTATCTGTGAACTTGAACCACACAATAAAAAAATAACCATCATAATTAATATAATCGAACCTCACAATACGAAAATATAAGCATCTTATATCCTCAAACCATTCCAAAAGCAAAGAAGATTGCATGACCCAAGCGTAAAAACTAATGACAGAGAAAAGTAACACAGAAATGCGTGGTTAGGCAGAGAGAGACCAATGAACTTGTTAGACATGCATCATACATAGAAACATATACAGTGTCATGGTTACCAAAACAAATGATGATCGTAGAATTGTAATGGGAAAAGATTTAATTACCATAGCCAGGAGTAGGTTTCTGGGACTGTGGTATTTCTCCCAATCTCTAGCCTTGGCAAATTCCTCAAGCTTCTTAGAGAGGTCCTTGAGACTGATATTCTCTCTTTCTTCTTCTGCTGCATTAATCTCTTCTCCTTCTCCCATTTTTCACTCTCTCTTGGGTTTTTTTTTGGAGAAGAGAGGGACTTTTTATAGCTTAAAAAAGGATGAAGGTGCAAATTTTATTTTTCTTTCTTTTTAAGGAATAAGTATCTTGTATGCTAAAAAATCAAAAAAATAAAAAAAAAATAAAAGAAGGAAAAGGATAAAAAGTCTAAAAATGCGGGCCCTCTGTCGTCCTCATGTTTATACAAGAGATTCCTCACTGTCCCTCCACTGTGAAAAATGGCCAACTTCAATGCATATAATTAGTAGAGAATATTCCATAATTACTTACCATTGATGTCATGTTTGATTAGCAACCATGAGGAATGCTATTAGGGTCGGCCTTGAGAATTTTGGGGCCTTAGGCGAGTCTTCGAAGTAGGGTCCTAAAGTTTTTTGACCTCCGGTTCTTTGTACATTGATATGTATAAAAAAATTTCGCTAAATAGATAAAATATTCTATTTCTACATCAAATATCATTAAAAGTTAATATCAAAGGAATTATGATATTTCCTACTTTTTCTGTATTTTCATGTTATTTACAAGATATATAAATTTTTTGGGCCCCCCTCCCGAAGTGGGAGCCCTAGACAGGCACCTACATGGACTACCCTCAGAATTGGCCCGGTATGTTATGGCCTGTCCAGATCGTATGTACTTACGTGATGGTCATTCATTTAGTGATCTAACCACTAGTTGGATTTAGGTACCTCATAAGGGATTTATTTCCCTCAATTCAAAATGCAGCAATTTTTTTTTTTGTACATCGATATTTTTACACTAAGGGGAGGAGTCATTAGTAGAAAAAAAGCTTGTGCGACGAAGAAGATTTCGTCGCATAAGTGTAACTTGCGCGACAGAAACACACTTAGTTGCACAAACATGGGAAGAATTCAAAAAAAAAAAAAAAAACTTTCTGTGACGAACAATTTCGTCGCGTAAGAGGACTTCACGCGATAACTACTAGTGTTCGTCGCACAAGAAAAGGCGGGTAAATAAAATTTGGCGCCAAAAGTTTACATGACGAGTTTTTCTACATATTCGTTCGCAAAGTGTTGTTAAAAACGGTCAGCCGCGCATTAAACGCTCCTATTTATAGTGCGCATTTATAACACACTTTGCGCGACTGGGGATTCATCACGCAAAGTGTGTCAAGTTTTACATAAACATTGTTTCACAACCCTATTTTGCAAGGTTTTGTTTCAAACGATGGCTGATGTTTTAGATTCAACGAAAAGTTAGGAGGGAGAAGGCTTTCGTGAAGGGAAAGGTAAAAAAAAAATATTGTTGAATTAATTGTTTTACATTTGATATGGTTGAAATTATTGTTTTAATAGGCAATTACGTTTTAAATTTTTGTGGTAGGAAAAAAATGAGGAAAGCTGTGTTGACAATAGAAAGGTACCGACGTAAGCGTTTGCCCTCGTTTGATGACAAAAGTTCAGCTGAAGCGTCCGCCGAACTTAGGTTCGATATAGGGGGATTGGTGCGGAAGCAGTGTTCTACCGAGTTTAAGTCTTGGAAAATGGTGCCTGTGTACTTGAAGAACTCCATGATGCAGGATTTATCGATAAGTTTTATTAAAGAATGTGTAATTGTTTTGTTTAAAAATAATATTTTTGCAATAACTAATTTAATTTTATTGTCATTATAGGTTGTTTGGGATATTGATGAAACCTAAGAGAAGCAGCGAAAGTATGTGGATGACCTTTTCAAGATGCAGTTCCGGCAGTGGAAGTTCGATGTACATCGGGTTACTACTGCTGTTGCTGATACCCCTGCTGATGACCCAAAGGAAGAGTGAACTTAATTTTTTTTTTCTTTTTTTTGTTTATGAAATAAGATTTATTTGAACATTATGTTGGACTTTTTTTTTTAAATTTATGTTACTGGACGGCTAAAAGTTTACATTAGTTATAATATATATTTTTGTTAATAAATTAATTTTAATAAATATTTTGGTAATATATAATTTGGTTTGATAATTTTATATGGATAAAAAAAATTTGCATTAGTTAGAAAGATAACGGAAAAAAAAAAATAATGCAACGTGCACGACGAATATAGTGTTCGTCGTGCAAATAGTTTACATTATTAAATTATAGAGGAAACAAAAAAGAGAATTTTGCAAAAAAAAAAAAATGACACTTGCGCGACGAAGTTATATTTCGTCGTGCAAAAGTAACTTGCGTAACGAATTCTAACTTCGTCACGCAAAGTGATTCTTCCAAAAGTAATCTTTATAACATGACTTTAGCTATCGAGGCAGAAAACTGCAGATTTCGCCTCTGCACCTTATTTCCCTTCGTTTTTCTTCAATTCGGGATCTGTCGTTCCCATTTTCTCTCAGTTTCTTCCTCTAATACTTCGTCCATCTAAATCTCTATCTTCTCTAGGTTGATCGAGCTATTTCAGTGTGTTTGGTAAGGTTTTTGTTTTTTTCATTTAAAAGTATCAATGTCAATTCATACTAACACCGTAAGATTCGTTGTGTGTAGGGATATTGTGTGTGACTAGCCCTTGGTGGATAACGATTTGGAAGGTATTTTCTTCGTTTTATTTTTCAAAAATATTAATTAGTTAAATTATATTGAAATTATGTTGTTATGTTTATATTAAGTTGTTAAATTATATTTATTACACTTTTTTTTTATGTTGTAATTATGTACAATGTTGAATTGTATATGTACAAATTTGTACGTGACGTACAAATTTGTGTTGTGATGTAAGAAGTTAATTGTAATTAACTTCGTATTTGTTTTTTTTAGTAAAACTTAGTTTCCCGTTTGAGGATTAGTTGGATGTCGCAAATGGATGCGAAATCATGACTACGGTCCAATTAATTCTTGAATTTTCCCATTATTTGGATAGTTTAAGAATGCAAAGTTATGACGCGTAATTTACGATTAAGGGATTAGGTTTCGGTCGTGGGGATTTCGGTGTCATCTTTGTACATTATTTGGGTGGCACATAAGTATTTCATATCTATGTCATGCACTTGAAGAACTGTACAAAGATGTTGCCGAAATTTCTCCACATCAAAATCTAATATGAACTAGTCGTAAATTACGTGACATAATTTTGCATTCCTGAATGGGATAGGGCCCTTACCGAAGGCATAAGGTGACAAGATCATGTTGAAGTTGTTGTGATTGTTGTACTGTTATTGTGGTTGCAGGAATGATGGATAGAACGTGGATGCAGAACCCGAACAGATGCGCCAACGAATACTTGAATGGAATCGAGGATTTTATTGACTTTGCACATACGCACAATATGAAAAACTATTAAAAAATGCCAACCAAGAGTTATACCCGGGGTGTGAGGGATTTTCGATTCTCATAGCTATTGTGGAACTAATGCACGGGAAAATAAAGTATCGTATGTCGAACCAGTGTTGATTACATTTTGGAGGTTTTCAAGAGAATGCTACCAAAGGACAATTGTTTGCCAAAAGACCATAGAAACGCTCAAAAGGTGCCGAAAGACCATAGCCCTTTTCTCACCCTTAGTTGTTCTTCCTCGACACCCTATTTCACCCTCAGACCTTCTCACTCCACTCTCCATCTCTCACCTCGTCTCTCCGTCCCTCTCTTCGGCCTTCACATCTTCATCTCCAAGCGGTAATTTCCTCTTAATTTTTTTTTCAATTTTCTTTATTTACCATGTTAATTAGGGTTTATAGATTAAGGGTTTTTATTTTTTATTTTTCAAATTGGGATTTAGAATTAGGGTAGTGGGGTTAAGTTTAGGGTGCTTAAGTTAGGGGTTAGTTTATTTTAAATTAGGGGTTACAATTAGGGTTCTTAAATTTGGGGTTAGAATTAGGGTAGTGGGTTAGAGTTAGGATTCTTCAATTAGGGGTTACAATAAGGGTTCTTACATTTGGGGTTTTTTAATTTCAAGTAAAGGGTTAGAATTAGGGCCATGGGGTTAGATTTAGGGTGCTTAATTTACTGGGTTAGATTTAGGGTTCTTAAGTTAGGGGTTAGTTGATTTAGAATTAGGATTTAGAATTACGGTTTTAAAATTTGGGTTTAGAATTAGGACAATGAGTTGGATTTAGGGTTGTAATGGTTTATTCGTTTTAAATTTAAGTAGAAATTATTATGCATATGTTCGATAATTTTTATCTTTATAATCTAACAAATTTATTTCCAATTTTGTAAATGTCACAGCTCATTACAAGCCGGAAGGCGATGATGACTTCACCTCGTCTGACAATTACACCTCATCCAACGATTGCACCTACTATTGCTGTAACTGCTCCGGCAGAGATGGATCATAGGCCGGAGAATCCGATTGACCCAGTTGGTCCTCCAATCTCGCAGGTGTAGGCGTATTTGACTTCTTTGGTGGCGCTACTTGTTAGCGCTCAACATGCTCACAGGTGCCCCCGCACTCCAGAGCAAATGTCGCCATCAGGATCCACAACCATGCCTCGGGTCCACAACCAGGTATACTATCCTAATTTACTCCCTCATTCCCATGTTAACTTAGTTTTGTTATTTAGGTTCAGTTTGTTAAGTTATGTCATTTAAGGATTAAAAAGTTATTTTATATATATATATATATATATATATATATATATATATATATATATATATATATATATATATATATATATATATATATATTGTTTATTGTTGTCATCGTTCCGAACCCATTATTAAACAGTTGTGATCATTGTGTAGGATACATATATTGTTTATGTTATTTTCAGGGTTTTGGGAAATGCTTTAATTATAGGGAGGTTCTGCCGAAATTTTGGTAGGATTTGTTATTAGTTTTAGGTTAACGTTAATTTTTCACTTCTTTGCAGCCAAGAAAAACACCCAGAGACCTTGTCGGCAATTGAAGACAGTGAAGTTCACCCGGGTGACCAACGATCGTATCACAATCAGATACGATGAGCGACATCGGGCAGCACCAATGTTGGAGCAGCATAGTGCATTGGTCCACGACATTGGGTGGAAGTCTTGGAAATCGATGTTGGAGGATGTGAAGAACACGGTGCGCAATCATTTGTCGGTAAG